TAATATCTATTACCCTATATATTCTACTCTATTTTTCCTCTATAATATATTATAATTATAATCTTATTTAGTTTATTTCACTACTAGCTATATAAGTCTTACTATTTCCCTTATTTTCACCTATTTAGAATCTAATTTCTTCTAGATATCTTAAATCTATAATACCCTCGCCTACTATATTATCTAGCGTAAGCGCTACTAAAAATACACCTAAGCAGACTACCTATAAGTATAGCTATAAAACTACTACTATAGCTACTAAGAAGACTAGCTAGAAGACTACCTATAAGATCCCCACCTATATTACAGGAAAGTATATACCTATCTACTACTATAAGCCTAAAAGTAAGTTAGATTATTATAATTCATTTCAGTTATTATAATATTAATATCCTTTAGATTACGCTTTATAGGAAATTTATTAATACTAGGCTTCTTATAGTACCTTTATTCTTAAGGCGCCCTTCTAGCGCCTTATTAAAGAAATTATAGATAAATAGGTTAGTAAATCTAGTTTAACTTATTAATAAGTAATAGCTTTTACTACTCTTTAAGAAGCTACTAAGGTAACCTTAATAACTATATTTAAAAGTATATTTATCTATTCACTTTCTATTCTTTTACTAACTTATTTCTAGTAACTCTATATATAGCTATCTATACTAAGAGGGTTACTATTAAACCTATAGATATTAACTTTATTAAGAAGATTTATATAATATCTTAAGGTATAGGATACTTATAGCTTAGTAATACTATAAAAGGTACTAAATTCTATTTCTATTCTATTATTTTATTCTACTTATATTTATTTAGATTATTCTAATAAAATTAAGTAGTAATAAAAGAATATTAGAGATACTTAATTCTACCCTATAATTAAAGATACCCTAAAACTAAATCTTACTATCTAATATAAATAAGTAAGTTAGAAGACCCCTTCTAAGAAGGGTAATAAAAAAGAGTAAGATACTATAAAAAAGAAAAAGAGAGTTATAGCGAGATAAACTACACTAAAACTAAAGAAGAAGAGAAGAACTAATTATAAAGACTTAATTTCTTCTATTAACTCTTATTATAAAAGTAATAAGATATCTAAGGATACTCCTCTATAGATACCTAGTTAGTTTAAAAATATTAAACTTAGTAATATCTCTACTAGAAATCTTAATACTACTAATACTACTAAGGGAATAGCTTAGCTTAGTAATATCTCTACTAGAAATACTAAAGCTATTAATAACTTAGAGTAAAATACTAAAGCTATTAATAACTATATTAGAAACCTTTAAGCTCCTACTAGCTATAAGGAAAACCTTATTAGTAGTAATATAATAAGTAATAATAGTAAAGAAGAGGTTATTAAATATAGCTATAATCTTAATAGTTTTAAGTATCTTAAAATCTTTAATAAAGAAGATTCTAAAACTAAGTTAACTAATACTCTTAAAAAAGTAGTAGGGGATACTATATATTAGCTTAATAATAATAATTTAGTATTTTATAATACTCTTTAAGAGTAAATAGATAACTATTCTTAAATTAATAAGAATAAAACTATAACTTAGATTTAATAAATAATAGTAGGATAAGATAGTTATAAGACTATATAATAAAGAATAGCTTAGTTTAGATAGATTATTTTAAGAATTTAGTAATAAGAGTATAATTATATTATATAAAAAGTACTTAAATATAGAAATAATTTTTATAAGATTATTATAATAATTATTATAATATAAACTTATTTCTTTTAAGATAAGTAACCTATATTACTAGTAAATTAAATTTTATATAATTAATAAAATAATTAGTATAATACCCTACTATATCTATTAAAAAGTATATACCCTTAACCTATAGGTATAAGTAGAATCTCTACTTATACCTAGATTAATATCTACCTATATACCTAGTAAACCTATCTACCTATATTCTAGGTATACCTATAACCTAACCTATTTAGATGGGTACCTATAGGTATCTATAGTATAGGTAATTTGAAGTCTACTCCTTGCAGAGAGAAGGTTTGCCTCAACCGCAAGCGCTTCAGTAAAACGGTCTTTGCGAGCACGTATAGATACATTAAAATCATTTAGTACTATTGCTTAACGTCGGCAAGAACGGCACTATAGATAGGATACTTGAGACACTCGGTTTCTGCTCGCATTCAGCAATCTTATCCGTCGGCATTCAAGGTTGGCCCAGGAAACTTCCCTGAGGTCACTTGAGGAACTTATGTCGAAAGTTTCTCCTTTCACTGCCGATCCGCAAGAAATCTGCCCCTTCGAGAAGAATTAGAAGTTCCTAATCACGGGAGCCAAGAGTCATGTATGGGGATCCCAAGATCACCGCCCCCTTACCGGAAAATACACAGCGAAAGAGCCGTCCGATCTTCGAGTCAGTTCAGACGAACATGAGACATCAGATAAACGCTCCCGCCGAGCCAACACATATGGCGGCAATCAATAGCAGACGGATAGGAGGACTTGCCCGCAGCCCGAACGGGTCGCCCCAGACTGTTCATCCCTCATGCGCCAGTTTCCACTATTTTTATTATCGACTCAAAACCTTGTCATGGATGGTGGGAGTTGGCAAAAGTGATGAGCCCCGTTCACATATTAAAACCTCCAAAGTCTAAATCGTCAACTCCGGAACACTCGGGCCACAAAGTCTCCCCCTTTCTCTCGGCACCAATCACTCGGGATAGCATAGAGTCGTATAACTCCACAAACAATATCACGATTATGAGGGCGATCGGTCTTCGCGAGGCCGGGATGGGGTTGCTCGCAGATATTGGATCGAAAGTCAGTCCTGTCTGCGGAACTTTCGGTCCAGAACTCGCGAAGATAAATAAGGCTGCCAGTCCGCCGCACTACTCGTGCTTGTGGGAATCTCAGTAGCTGTTTGTCACCGCTCTCCTAGTCACTCTTTTGATTCAATCCGAACACAGACATTCGTTTCAATAAATCATCTCAAGATGAAGAGCTTCAGCACCATCGTCCTTGCGGCTGCTGCCGCCACCGGCGTCATGTCCGCCGCTGTCAAGCAGCCCCAGCCCCTTGAGCAGCGCAACACCGGCTCCGACCTCAAGTATGCCGGTTCCGTCATGAACTCCGCCGCTTTCGACGTCTTCAAGAACACCGAGGTCAAGGTCGCCCCCAACGTCCTGAACTCCCGCCAGGAGGCTGAGCCTAACCCAAACCGTAACGAGACCAACCCCGACGTTGTCTTCTTGCTTCAGTGCACTGACGCTGTGAGTCCACTAGAATCGTAACTGGTGTCTTGGGATGATTGCTTATAAAAGTTCAGGGTTTCCGTGGTGACTGCCTCGTCTTCGGTGCTCCCCCTGGTTCTTGTGGTAAGTGATGGCCAGATCCATATCAAGGTGACGTATGCTGATCATTGATTGACAGTCTCTTTCTTCGACTTCAATGGCCCCAACTCCACTGAGGCTAGCGACCGCTTCAACGACAAGGTTACCTCCTTGTCCACCAACACTGGTGGAAAGTGCCAGTTCTACAAGTACGTCGGTTGCTTCTATCTACCGTATCATTGGATGCTAACAAGAATGTCAACAGGTTCAAGGGCTGCAACAACAAGGGCGACGACCGCGGTCTCACTTCCTCCTACAACTACAACTTGGCCGTTGCTCTGCCTGATGACCCTCGCACTGTTGAGTACGACAACGAGATCACCTCCTGGAGGTGCTAAATCAGTAGCCTCGTACATGAATAGACGAGAGCACCGGCCTTACAATAAGCCGAAGAGGGACGTCGGAGATGTTGAAGGATAGTTGAGCACTCAGATAGCAAACAATATACTGGGGCACTGCCATTGGGCGAATCGTCATTATCGTGTCTATATTGTGCTTTTTTGACCAAACCCAGGCCCCGCATGCTTGTTGTCAAGTGGATTTGAATAGTAAGTGAATTTCAGAACTAGCGCATCCGATCAGCATGAACATGAACGAACGTAAATATCAACATAGTCCTGGCGAATTCACCGCCGTTTTCGGCTCGTCTCCTACGTCGGTCGTCAGGATATGTGCGATATGAAGTTCTACATGCATCATGTAGTCGTGCATGTACCGGTAAACCTGCGATAGCTCATCGATCATTTGATGAGCCGTTTGTGACAAAGCATCGAGGAAACCAATGCGACGCCGATAAATCAATTCGGCGTGCAACAGAGGCCTTTGAAGCATGTGACTAAGAGGTGTTAGCTTCATACTTCAGTTTTGGGCCAAGAGTTTACTCACAGTCATACTAATGGCCTCCAAATCGTTTTGACGTGCAATGATTTGACGAGGCACAAATAATCCACCACGAGGGAGAATCCAGGTTCACTGAACAAACTTTGGGTCAATATTTTACTTCCGCGAGAATGCAACGCTGCTTCTTTCCACCGTATCGGAGCGTACCGATTGGGAAGACGAACCAAGTGAACTTGACTCCTTTCGAGCCATTATGTGACATAGGCACATGTCAAACCGGCCTTCAGATTCAGCCGATATGCGGGGATAGATTAATTTGCAGCGAAGACACAATTGGATCAAATGTAAGCTCTCCTCCTCCGCATATCATGTTGCAGCATTCGCTTCCCAGCTCAACTGGGGTCTTTCAGCTCAATTTCAAGTTGCGTGTCATTTGTGACTTCTCTGGTTCCGGGTAAAGAAGTAAATTGACGTGGAAACCCCGCACCAGATTGAATGCGTCTACGGAGAGACTGGGCCGCATATATCCTACAAATCCAGTTCTACAAAGCGTTGGCACAGGTAAGTATTGGACGATGCTTCTTTGATACGAACTTGGCACAAGTATAAATTAGGTGCTCGACTTCGATCTTTAATAAGAAAGAAACTGCACTTCCACCGTAAGGTTTCCCACACGGGGTTCAATCATATATTTCACAATGCAGAGCATTTCAGTCGTGATCTTCTTCTTCAGCTTTTTAGCTTGGTCTGTCCCTTAATCCAACTATCGCAATACGTGTTACTGATGTGGGCTAGGGGTCTTCTCGGCCAGATCACGCTGACTCCCTCCACGATCGATCGAACTAGAACCACGACCGTCACAAAGACAGTCACTCAAGTTTCTGTCAGCCTTACTACCTCAATAATTACAACCGCCACTACTTCGACTGCAACCGTAACTGCTCCCATTACCTACCGCGAGACAACCACCGTAGTGGCCACGAAGACGGCGACAACAACTCAAACGACCACTCAGACGACCACAGTGCCGTGCTCCTTGGTCAACTGCCCTAAGATAACTTTGACGGGAACGATTTGCAAGAGCTGCTTCGTAGCGCAGTGCACGACGACTTCCACCGTTACCAGATCATGTGGCTGCTCGAGCGCTCTTGCTACGACGACTGTTGACTTTGAATGTGAACAGCCTGACGTGTGCAACAGAATCGGATGCAGGACTGTGTACGCTGTGGCTACTCCGGCTTGCTAGACAAAGTGATGGAAAAGAAACGATGAGTTCCATGATGGCATGGTGTGGCTTGTAAGACTGCGTGGTTCGGATCTGGCGAAGCGAACAGGTGTAGCCAATGCGTCATCATGCGCCACATGTGAAAACGATACCTTTGGTACATTGTGTAGTCTTCAAATGCCAAGCATCTTCTCAAGTAAAGTGCCACGTGAGTGACGATAGTATTGCATAGTGACAACCTATCCGACCTCGCTGTGACCATTTATGTGAGTTGAGAATCCGGCAGATGAAGAAGGAAAAGTACCACGGGAGAGTAGCATGTCAAAATTAAGTAGAAACAAATCATAGGGGAAAATCAACGCGATTTTGGGATTCGAGCCTTCAAGGGCCGTTACGTGTTTTGAAAAAGATCTTTAGTTCGTGACGGTCTGTTGGACTGAAGACGGCCCCGAGTCCCCCGAACTCGACAGACTCACGAATCCATACCAGCTCTTTATCAAGTCAAATTGAGGTAGGGTAGGTGCGATGAAAAAGACACTTGCGTGGGCGGTGAGAGATCTACCCTACGTTACCTTACCTTAGGAAAGGAGCAGCACCAGGCCGTACCTGCCTCTCCGCGTACCTACCTTACCTCACCTGGCTTATCTGAGCAAGGCAGCCACCCCTGGCCTTCTTCTCCCACTTCCTTCTCAGAGAAAATCGTCACCCCGCCTGAAATATCTTTACCGCCCCGTTTCTGTCGTCCAACTTCCATCCGCCAACATCACCGTCACCCTCTCTCTTCTACATCACCACCCGATGGGGTTTTCAACCATTTTCGGCCTCGCTGTCATCGATATTTGCCATGACAGGGTAAGTGGATTTGAAACATGTCGTTGCAGAGAATTCCATCAATGTTTTGTGTCTCCGGCGGTACATTGCTGACTACACATCCAGCCTTTTTCGAGCACTTTGCGACACCGACCGGAGTCGTCACGAACGCTCTGCGAAGTCGACCGAAGTCACCACCAACCAACTGTGCGATACCGCCCGGAGTCACCCTGCTCTGCAAAGTGGACCGGAGGTGTTGCGAGCAAGATCTGCCAGACCCTTCGCCAGTTGGCCTTGGACAAGCGGACGACTTTTTTCGTTAGCATGGCTTGGAGGTGTGCTTGTAATTGATGATGGCACTATCATGGAAAGGCCCTGCTCCTCAGAAGTGGCAATGTTGACGGATGATACACGCCTTGTGAACTTTCATGCTGCGGTCCGCCGAGCGAGAAGAGCTAAACCCTCTGTCTCAATCACGCCACATTCGTGGTAAGGGCGGGACAGATGAGAGCATCATTAGTGTTTTCATGTCTGCGGCAAGGCAAAAATGATGGAATGAAGAATCGAGGTTGTCTTGGTCTTCCTGCCCTGCTCTTCAGGAGTGGTAACGCTGACGGCTGGTACACGCCATGGGGCCTTCTTGCTGCGCTCCGAATAGCTTCGCGAATAGCGATCGACTATCACTGCCCGGGAGGGTGGTAAAGGGTGATAGAAGTCTGTACTCCAGTGCTACCAGGCCCACGGCGCGGCAGGGACCCGGGACTATTCCTTCGGGGATGGTAAGTCATTCACCAACACTCTTGTGTCATGGATCTGACGCTAACTCACGAACAAACGAAACTACTCTAGAATGTCGGCGAAAGACAGACTTAGTGCAGGTTGGGGGGAGGTTGAACGGCCGGCTTCCGTGATGGAGATGTAGTTGACTTGGTAGACCGGACCGGGACTGGAGTTGGAGAATACGGGTTGATTGGGAAGGCGGCGGGGAGGTATGGAGAACGGTAATTTGCCCTCTCGCCTACCGCACTTTCCTCTGACGAAGTTATCCTCACTCATGCGATGGCGCGATCGGCTGCAGCTCTTTTCTGAGATTGTGGGTTCTGGCGTGAACCGTTGGAGCGCCCAATGGAGTGGAACAGATATGCACATGCAGGGCAAGCGAACAGGGTCTCAATCCATTAATTCACCGACATACTGCCTCGGGCCGAACTTCCGCGGACTGCGTTCTATGAACTCACAGCGATGTTACTGAGCTCTTGGTACTGATTTGATTTTCGTCCAGCATCCTACCCTATTATGCGCGATTAGTGCCTCGGCTTGTCCCGAATTGACATAAAAAGTGGCATCGGCCCATGATATTGCGACAGCTCAACACCGACATAGAAGCCATCTAAGCTGCCAAGGCGGAGCTCGTGGCAACGGCCTACGCGCCCAAGCCTGTGGAGAAAACAGAAAGGAAAAATATCTCGATTTCTTGGGTCCGCAAAATCATGTCGTGCGGGACGAGCTTTGTCGGTGAAATGGTCGCTCAAGAGGGACCACTAAGCCCTTAGCTCGTGGGAAATGAGGTCAACGCTTCTGCGGTTTGATGACATCAAAATTCAGTTGTCTCGATGATTGACGCGGTTAGCCGAAATCGCGGGGGCGGGGATGAATTGGGGATCGTCAGGTTCACCTTGACCACGACCCCGGCTCTCCCCTCATGATTCCCCGCATTTGTCGGTGCCATCAACACCGAGCGCGTTTGTCCGGATGCTACGCTGATTCCAGGGCTACACACCGGACGAACATGGGTTCTCGAGGGCGCGCAGGGGTTATTTTGCGATGTTTAAAAAGAAGAGAGACGCAGTCAAATCTGGAATGAGCTTGAGGCGGCTTTCGAGTGGTATTGCCAATTGGTCTGTTGCGTTGCATCCGATTCGGTCATCACGATGAGATTCGGATTGAAAGCCGGTGGGCTTTTGTGGCTCGCGGCCTCGCTTTGCGGGTCTGGCCGTGCTTTGGCTCAGGAAGACGTTGACTGGCCGATCCACGACAATGGCCTCAATGAAGTCGTCCAATGGTGAGACTTGCCGAAGATGTTTCATCGAAACAGGTACTGATGCAGGGACATGCAGGGATCACCACAGCTACATCGTCAATGGCGAGAGACTCTTTGTCTTCTCAGGTGAAGTACGACCTCCTCCATCGCAGATCCCCATCATGATGATACTGACAGCTTCCAGTTCCACTACTGGCGTATTCCGGTGCCGGAACTTTGGAGAGACCTTCTTGAGAAGATCAAGGCGGCAGGGTAAGAGCGTACTGGATTGACACACCCAACCTACTCATTAACAATGGCGACAGCTTCAATGCCTTCTCCATCTATAACCACTGGGGCTACCATAATCCGTCCCCTGGGGTCTTGGACTTCGAGACCGGCGCCCACAACTTCACATCCATCATGACCGTCGCCAAGGAGGTCGGCATCTACCTGATCATTCGCCCTGGCCCCTACGTGAACGCCGAGACCAACGCCGGAGGATTCCCTCTCTGGGCCACGACCGGCGAGTACGGTTCTCTGAGAAACGACGACTCGAGGTACACCGAGGCATGGACTCCTTTCTGGGCCGAGATCTCCAAGATCATCAAGCCGCACTTAATCACCAATGGCGGAAACGTCATCATGTTCCAGATCGAGAACGAGCTCAACGGACAATGGAAGGATATCCCCAACCGCGTCCTCAACCCGCCCATCGCGAACTACATGCAGCTCCTCCAGGACAGCGCACGGGAAAACGGCATCGATGTGCCTTTGTCGCACAATGCTCCCAACATGCGAGGATACTCTTGGTCCAAGGACTTCTCCAACGCGACTGGAAACGTCGACGTTGTAGGCGTGGACAGCTATCCGTCCTGCTGGAGCTGCAACTTGAGCGAGTGCACCGGTACAAATGGACAGTACATCCCGTACTTGACCCAGAACTACTACGACTACTTCACGGTTCAGTCCCCGTCCCAGCCAAACTTCTTGCCAGAGTTCCAGGGAGGCTCCTACAACCCATGGGGTGGACCGGAGGGCGGCTGCCCAGGCGACATCGGTGTTGACTTTGCCAATATCTTCTACCGCGATCTCATCTACCAGAGAGTCACTGCAATCTCCCTGTACATGATGTTCGGCGGTACCAACTGGGGTTGGCTTGCTTGTCCCGTCGTTGGTAGGCACACTCTGCTTCCCAGCTGTTATTGATTTACTGACATCTCTGCCAGCCTCCAGCTACGATTACTCCTCCCCCGTATCCGAGAACAGAATCATCGGAAGCAAGTTCTACGAAACTAAGCTTTTGACCCTTTTCACGAGAGCCGCCAAGGACCTAACGAAGACGGAGAGAGTCGGAAATAGCACATCATACTCGAGTAACGCAGCCATTACCGTCGCCGAACTGCGAAACGTAGACAATGACGCCGCCTTCTACGTTGCGCGCCACGCATATTCCCCTTCCAACACCAATGAGGCATTCAAACTCTCGGTTAACACGTCAGAGGGTGCCCTCACTATCCCTCAACATGGAAGCTCCATCGCAATCAACGGACATTCGGCCAAGGTCATTGTCACCGATTTCACCTTTGGCGAGAAGAAGCTGCTGTACTCCACCGCAGAGGTTCTCAGCTACATCGTCGTCGACGGCAAGGAGGTCATTGCTCTTTGGCTTCCCGAGGGTGAGGCGGGCGAGTTCGTGGTCAGCGGTACCACCTCTGCCGAGCTTGTTGGAGATGGAAACGTCGGCGATTTCCAGACCTTCGCAGGAGAAAGCAACGTCACCGTTGCGTACACCCAGAAGAAGGGTATCACCATTGTCGACCTTGGAGATGGCTCGCGTGCTGTTTTGCTGGACCGCACTGCAGCTTACCTTTTCTGGGTCCCGACTCTCGACAATGATGTCTTGGCCCCTGCCAACAAGACCGTCTTTGTTCAAGGACCTTACCTTGTTCGTTCGGCTTCTTTCAATGAGACGGGCCGCAGTTTGGCTCTTTATGGAGACGCTGACAAGGATACCACTATTGCCGTTTTTGCTTCTGAGTCCACCTGCGGTATCACTTGGAACGGCAAGAAGCTTGAGATTGTTTCGAGAGAGGGCAATGTCTTCACCGCGAAGATTGAGGGCCCTGCCGAATTCAGTCTCCCAGCTCTTGGCCCGTGGAAGGTCCACGATAGCTTGCCTGAGATCGCC